GCATGATTTCTTTGTTTCCTTGACAACGTAATGTCAGGAATGAAAATTATGCAGAAAATATCCAATTATTAATTATTTACAGCAATTTCTACGAATAGTAAGTACAGTAATTCTCTATGATTCCTCAGAGTCACACAAGTTTCTGAGTAATTTTCCATTCGAAAACGATAGAAAAACAACCTATATATCACGGAGGAAAAAGGTGAATTGTTATACTCGACTAGAAAGCAATGAAGCTGCATAAGATTGTGTTATTGTGCATTTTAATTCTCGTGTTAATCGCGATGGACTTTTCAGAAGCTCGAGGCCGCGGCGGAGGTCGCAGCGGCAGTAGTTCACGATCGAGGGGTAGTTCAAGAAATAGGGGTGGATCTAGTAGATCAAGGTCGTCAGGGGGAAGTAATACCGCTTACAAAGCGAAGAAAGTCACCAAATACACGCCGATCAAAGCTACAAGTGCGCGCTCACCGGTCATTGTAACTCAAGCTATAAAGGGTTCGCGCTCAAGCACTTTTACGAAGGTCTTTGTCGGCTATATGTTTGCTCGCTACGCTTTTGGCACTGCCCCAGTATACCGGTACGGGTATCCCATGTACCGAAGTTACGTCACCATTCCCGAAAACAGAGCCGTGAGACTTGCCTCTGAAGAAAGAAAACTCCTGGAGGCAGATGGCAACTTGTGTGTAAACAAAACGAGAAAAGAGGAAGAGCAAACTCTGCTGGAGGGAATTGACGAACATTTAGTGGAACTCAACACGGCAATCGTGTACAAGGAAACCGGGAAGGTAAAGAGATTTGAAGGAATTGATAAAACAGTGTCTCTAGAGGACATTGAAAAGGAGGATTTTGCGCTAATGAGTAATGCTCGGTACAACATGACGATCGTAAATGGAACAAACTGCACGCAAATCGAGAAGAAAGTTAACGGAACCATGGTGGCCATGTACCAGACTAACCCGGACTACCAGACTAACGCGGACTACCAGACTAACCCGGACTACCACACTAACCCGGACTACCACACTAACCCGGACTACCACACTAACCCGGACTACCAGACTAACCCGGACTACCACACTAACCCGGACTACCAGACTAACCCGAACAACGCGGGCATGCTTTACATCAGCTATAAACTGCTTCTCGCTGGAATTGCGCTCCTTGGTTTTCTTAATATGTAAATATTTGAGTTTTATTGTGAAACAATTTTATTCCAAAGCGCAACTCGGTGTATTTGCATATTACCGGTGGATGTTTTTTTTATGCAAATAATACTTATATATAAATATGCATTCAAAAGCAATTTTAAATCCAGAGATTATTACAGTTGCAGTAACTCGATGAAGGTTTTCTTTTTAAAACCCTGATTTGAAAATTGTGAAATATTTTATTTAGTAATGTCAGGTTTTCAGTTAAGCTACAATGTCCAAATATTTAAGTAATTTCAATGACGTGTCACCTTCCGAAAATACAATATTAGCGCAAGCATTTTGACTTCGTAAAAGTAAAACTACACAGGCGAGTAAAACAGAGTGATGTTTTTCCGTGGCTCAAGCACGCTCAGCTAAAGACTGAAATTTTGCATATTTTCACTTATTTTTGAGAGCTTTTTAAATGAAGATTCTTAGTTTTCTCACTTTCTTCGGACTGAAACTTATATAAGAGATTGATTAGTGTCAGAAAATGATAAACTATCTTTCATAGCTCGAATTTAGAAGATTAATGATTGTAAGTCTTCTAGCCTTTGGATTTTTGCCTTTTTTTTGTAGGAAAAGGTCTAGGGAAAGAGGAAAGTGGGATTTCTAAAGCAATCAAAGTCAATATTAAAACTGATACTGCTGGGGTAAGGCACTCGTATCAGCTGTCTTTAGTTACTATATTTAGTTCATCTCTCATCTGTTTGGTGAGAATCTTGTGAATGGATGTATACCACAGGGCCCACAGAAATGCAAAACATCTCAAACCTTTGTCTGTATTGAAATCTAAAAACACCAGACTTAAATTTATTATCATTAGCAATAAAACAGAACATTCCTAATTGTGTATGGGTGTGTGAAGCTTTGGTTCAGAATTTTATGAAAATTCTTTTTTTTAACTTTGGCTTTTACCAAAAAAGGATGAGGTTGAAATTTACCAACACCCACTGAAAAGACTCCTAGGAGGTCTAAATGCAGAACAACCCAACACAGTACTTGCTTATACTTTTTAACCCTATAACTCCTAGACATGATTAACATGTAACTTCTTCCACATGCATGCATTATCCTGCAAACATGTGTTGAGAATATTCAAACTTATCAGGTAGAAGTTGTTGTCTTTGTCCAACACCAAATCATTGTTACTAATTTACAAGGAAATGTGTAGCAGCCAGAGGGGAAAATTAAAAATAAGATTTTGGGAGTTGCTGGTAAAGGGATAAAATATTCCATCCATGGTTTCCTCTTTTTTTTTGCAACTGGAAAGCAATAGTGAACATATAGTCTTAATGAGCAGTGAAATAGTCTTCTTAAGAGAGTGTTTCTAATTAAAGGGTATTCACCCGAAAAAACCTTGCTTTTTTTTTCACAGCAGAGTTTTTTAACTTCTCACTCTGTTTTAAGACAGATACTTATTTAGTTTTCTCATAAATTTTTTTTGTGCAATGAGGTTGGGTATGATGCCGGTGATCAGTTTAGTTTTCATTGGTGGGATCATGTCTTCAACAAAACAGCAAAGAGCATAGTGGTACAGGAGAGTGGCGTAAGTATGCCTGTCTGATGCAATGTCATTTTCCAGCATGGAACAAAAGACTCAATCTTCTTGTCTTTCACATCAACACTTAGTAAGCCCAGGATGATGTACAATTTTTCTGTAATTTTAGTGTAAAAAGATGGTGAAGGATTTCTTGATGTTTGCTTCAGGCTCATTATCATCTTTGATGGTTACAGAAATTTCACCCAAAATTTCAACCCATCAGATACAAAAGCCAAAACCAATTACATGGTTTGACTTGTCAATCCACATTTAATTTTTCATATGGTAATTTTTGTCTGTTTGGTCTGAGTTCACTCGGTTTCCTTCTGATATAATCCCCCGTGCTCATTAGGGACAGCAAGGTCTCAATATGATTTTAGTTTTTTGACAATCAAATGAAAAGCGCTCTTTAAGGTATAGTAGTTGGATTTTTAACTTATCGAAGCTATTTTTGCTTCTCTGGGAGAGTTTCATTACCACTTTACTCCTTTAAAAGAGGCAATATGTCAATATTTTAAAACAGAATGGGAAGAGATGAAAGAAAAAAACTGTAAAATTACTCGTCATGACTTTGAAATGGATGAGATTGCTAACATGCTAAATGTAGCAGGACAGAATCATTTTACCTCACTGTCTGACAAAAGCTAGTGGTGTAGTAGTTTAAACATCATGATTTTCAATAAGTTTAGACATAATATCATGAGGCAAATGACTAAACATTCATTTAAATCTATGAACCACAATGAAAAAAAAACATGTGGTATAAGAGATGTGACTGTGTATCATTTTTTTTTTTTACATGGTACAGGATGGAGTAGAAGTAGTAAAGTCTGGTAAAGAATCGTGTGTGATCAGTAATAAAAGACCAAGCAAGAATTCTAACAAGCCACTGTTATATGGCAGATTTGTCAAGGTATTTAATACTCTTTTTGAATATTTAACAATTATTTGCCAAAAGTGAAGTGAATATTGTTAAATAGTTCTTGAGATCAAGTTGAGGGAATAACTCACCAATGTTGACTTAGCCTGAGGTGAATAATTGTTTTCAGTACAATTGCTCTTACTAGTGCTCTTGAATTCTGTTGTAAATTACATATGTAAAGAAAGTATTGCACATATTTTGTTACAATTGTGTTGATTACTCATACCAAGATAAACAGGCAGTTTTAACAGGGTTTTTTAACTCAATCAGCGAAAACTCCCTGCAGTGCCCCACCAAACTCAGTAGCATCTTTTGTGCTCTTTTTCAATCTAATTTTTTATTTAGTTCTTATTAACCGAGTGGGAGGTCTGTATGGGAGAATCTTGACCGAGGTCGCAAATACAGACCAAACACAGTGAGGTCTGTACCAGCGACCGAGGTCAAGATTCTCCCATACAGACCAACCTAGCTCGGTTAATAAGATGTTTAATTATAGGGCTGTGTCTTGTATGCCAATTTTGTATATTCTTTGTACCTTTTTTTTTCTTCTAGACCGGTCTAGATGCCGGTCTAGATGGGAAAATCTATACCACTTTCAATATTGATTTCAGCCAATCAAATTTGTGAATTCGGTAGTTCCCAGTCCTTGTGAGACACAGCCATATAATAAATCACATTTATTACTTCCTCACAAACATTGACAAAATGCAGGGCAGCCATTTTGTGAGTGTAATTTCTCTCGACCACGTCAAAGCATGGCCAACTACACAAGA